CTGCAGCCAACGCATCTTTCAGTCCTTCAGCTAAATCATCAAACTTTTCAACAGGAGCACATGACACTAATTGAATATCATCTGCATACGCATAACACTCCATCTTATGATTCTCCATCATGTCAAACACATCAGCAGTATACAACAAGAAGAGAAATGGCCCCAACACCGATCCCTGAGGAACGCCAGTTAACATTTTTTCCTCATCCGAATATTCATTACCAAATAATATCCGCTGTGATCTGTCATTTAAGTACGACTTGATAAATCTTAGCGCAGTGCCTGAATTTCCATAGCTTGTTGACATTCTTTGAACAAGTATATTGTGATCCACACAATCAAAGGCAGCACTCATATCAAGTAAAGCTAACAATGTCACTTGCTTTGAATCTGATGCCTGAAATAACGTTGACAACAGCTTTAACAGTGCCGTTTCCGTAGAGTGGAATCTTCTGTACCCCGACTGAAAGCACGGAAGAAGATTATTTTCATCCAAGTATTGTGGAAACTGTCTTGTAACCACCCTTTCAACAATCTTTGAACGACAAATTTGACACAGGACGAAAACTCTTCAACTCATTTGCATCGGACGATGGTTGCTTCAATAGCGGTGTAACAATTGCTTTTTTAAAAATCATTGGATAACTTCCAGTTTTCAAACGTATATTGATCAAATCCGTCAAGTACGGCAAAAACAGTTCAATGTGTTTTTTGAAAAGACTCGTCGGGATGGGATCTAGCATACATGTTGCCGGAGGGGCTTTCAAAATAACTGCCTTAACATCATCACTTGAGCACTCCAAAAAATTCGAGAATACTTGATGTTCTTTAACCTTACAACTGAAAGAAGGTACGCCATGCCCTGTTATGGTTTTTTTAATGTTTTCAATCTTTTTCCTGAAAAACTCTGCAAATTCACTGGCAGTAATTTTATTATTTGCTACATCAACCGTGTTAGGTTTTTGGTACATAAAACCTTGTTTAAAACTCGCCATAGCTGTTTAGGGTTGTTAGCGTTAGTGTTAACTAAATTGTTCCAATATGATTCTCTTTTTTTTGCAAAATGCTCTTGTTTCATATTCATTAGGCCTATCCAGTTCTGCCTATTAACCATGCATTTATTTTTCCTATATTTGCGTTCATACTTTCGACAATCACGTTTAATTCCTCTACAGTCACTATCAAACCATGGTGCAGTTGGAACCATTCTTGTTTCAACAACATGAAGAGGCGCAACAGTATTAGCAATTCTCATCATTTCATTGTTGAAGAGCTCCGCTGCTCTATCTACATCACCGTCATTACAAGCACCATTTATCGGTGATCCATTAATCAAGGTAAGCAAATGATTTTCATCCACACGCTTCCATGCCCGTACAGTCTTTTTAACCTTTAATACAGGGGAACAAACTATTGGCAAACAAAATGAAACCAAACTGTGATCAGAAATGACACCACTAGGATATGCCCTAACACGAGTAACAGGCATATTTATTACTGGTACCACCAAGCCCAACGTTCCACCATGCATATGTCTAGGTTGTTTTATAACATTTTGCATTGAAAACATGTCAAACACATTCGATAATATCTTGGCATTAACATCATCATTTTTTTCGATATGCACGTTCAAATCACCTAATAATATTACATGATCACTCAATAACATTATGTTCTCCAAGATACTGGTCAATTCTTGAAAAAATGCTTTAGAAACCAACTGCGATCCTGGTCGATAAATGGCAAATAGTACAACATTAACTTTGCTTACTGTCAATATAACCACAATTGCCTCACAATGTTAATAATTCATGCAAAGCTATCCTTTTGTGTTTAAAGAGATCACGAAAGTAAATGATTAACCCCCCGTGATATGAATCCTCTCTTCGCAAACAATCAACAAACCTGAATCCATGGGGCATAGCTAGTTTAATCGAAACATCATCCGATGAACCATGCCAGGTTTCTGTTAACACAAGAATATCTAAGTCTTTATGTAATAATTCATAAATAGTGTCAGTCTTTGAAATCATTGATCTTATATTTAAGAGACCTAGACGTAATTTTTTCAAATATCCATCATTAATATCATCAGTCCTACCGCTATCAACTCCATCATCATCCCCGTCACAGGTAACATTAATTCGACCATCATCAATAAATCTACCATCACGTCTATCATCATCACCAGGGTCATCATCACCACCACAACCACCCAATTGATCATTCACCATGTTACTTTCGCTATAGTTAATGACAAAATTCACATTATCAAAATTTCCACTTTTTTTTTATTCATATCCGTCCATTGCCCCTACCAAAAATTTTGCATTAACTTTTCTTTTTACATCATTTATCAAATATTTAATGTCATCAAGTTCCTCAAATATTCCATCGATATCGAAAGAGCACATATTCAGTGCAATCTTTTTTTTATTCGAATTATTCTCAAATTTCCAGGTTCGCCCCTCACTTTGTAAACAAAATCCTCTTTATCAGCTGCCTCCTTCTCCCTCGCTAAATTCATCAATTCTCTACACTTGATTCTTTGATCTTTTGTCATATCGTGGCCAATACCTATTCCCTTCAGATCATCATCTAAATTTTTCAAATTATTTAGACTTTCCATAATTAAGTTTTTCAAAACCTTTGACTTCAGTCTAACCAACAGCGGCCTGACATTATCCGATCTCTTGCCCAATCTGTAGTGTTTAACAACATTTGACATATCAAATTTTTCATCTGTTATTGCACTAAGAATACGCATAATCTTTTCATCATCTTCTTTTTTGCTATCATTAAAACTGAGGTTGTTACTTTTTTTCAATTTAAAAATTATAAAGTTGAACGATCTTTCTTCAACCTCACTATATAATTGAATTGTTTTCTTTGTACTAATGACCTCTTCTTTTAGTGCCTTTATTCTATCATTCATACTCATCACTTCATTATTTACAGTTTCAACTTTCTTCCCAACAACATCTTTCACAGCATCTGAATACGACTTTCTAAGACCATCTTGTAGTGAATTTATTTTTTTATCCAGAATATCTTCCGTGATTTTTTTATCAAGTATGGTTTTTATCTTCTTTATTTGACCACTAATGACGTTGTTGCAATCTTGTATGTTTTTTATATTTTTCAGTTCATCTTGCAGCATAGTTATTTTGCTTTCTAGATTTTTCATCGCTAAGTTCAAATCATCATTGTCAAGCGTTTTATTAAACTTTTTCCCCAAATCTTTAATTTGGTTAATAATAACCGCATTGCTTTCATGAATCGTTTTTATATCGCCCCCCATCACGCTTAACTGACTGCCAGGTTTGAAAGCCTCCATCTGTCCACCACAGCCATTACAACACCATATTAAAACGGTACATTGTTGAATATCCTTCATTGTTTGCTCAGAAATGGAAGCGCACTTCCAATGAATCACCAACTCACAAAATTTGCAATTTCCTTCATTGGTACCGTACCTGCACAGGCTGTGCATTTATTTTTTGAAGCCAAATGTTTATTAACAAATCAGTACATACAAATGTAAATTAATGCTAATTGTTAGTGTTTAAGTCTGCAAACTTCAACTCAAATCAACAAGGAGTGGACTTATCCAAAAAAAAACAACTTAAATATTAGTTTCTTATATAAATATATTAAACCTAAATAAACAATTAAATCTAAATTAATTAATTCGAAACCATTTAATGAAAAACAAAATATAATAATACTTCCTCTAATTTTATCCTTTAAACAAATCCAAATTCAACCATATAATATTAAAATTAACGCCAAAATTCAAGAAAAACTCATAAAAATCCAATTGCGTCCATTCACTATCAACTATCATATATATATATATATATATATATATATATATATATATATATATATATATATATAGTATTGTATGAACTTTATTAAATTTTTGGCATTAATCAATTTAAAGTTTGTCTTTTCAATTTTCTTTACTAGAATTTTCTGGAAATTGGAAATTTCAATTTTTTTTACTAGAATTTGAATTATAATATTAAGAGAGTTCTTGTTAACATGTCAGCATCAAATCTGAAAAAATTACAAATCACGTCGTTTTGTCATAAACTCGTTTCCACTGAAGTAATTAAAATGTTTAAGACAAAATTTGATAGTTTATTCTTCAACATAAAGCTTCGACTGTGGCTTTCAATGAGAAATGTTTTCAAATGAGACAGTAACTTGAGCAAATTCAAACAAGCGAGTCGAAATTTTTACAGGTTTATTTTATAGTGCTATTACTCAATAGGTGTGTATGTTTCGCTATATTAGTCTAACGACAAAATTTGTCATTGTGTATTTTTAATATAGTCGGTTATCATGGGTCAGCCATATTTGCTATAAATTGTTTTAGCGACGATCAGCCATTCGGGCTGAATTAGTAGGTGACTGAAACAACACGCCGACTTGGTAAAATTATATGAATCCAAATGTGTATTTGATCTATTCATACTGATGTATTGAATCTCATTTTCTAACCACACCTGTCTGAAACTTTTGAAATTGTATCTGTTTTACTGCTAGAGAGTCATTTTCACAAAAGAAAAAATCAAGTATTTTGAATGTTATAGTAGTTAAAAATTCGTCCATTGACAATTACCAATCCTTTTCGACACAGATGAGTGTATATGAGTTTATGTAGTTGTTCATTTGTTTTTACTTTTTGAAGATTTGTAACTAATCTCATCTTTAATTTGATCATCTTTCTATTTTAATCTCTCTTTAAATAGAATTACGGTTTAATCAAATTGTCTGCATCAGTTTTTTTCTGTATTTATAAAATGGAAGTTATTTATAGCAGCTGCGTCGTTCTATCTTTCACGTTTTGTTTCACATATGTCTTATTTCGTAGGTGTTTTATATCACGCGCGTAGATCATTTATTGTTATAAATAGGTTGTGGCAGGATTCACTTTAACAAAGTGTCTGTCCGTTTCACTTTTTAACCTATTGAAATAGTATTTTGGCCAAATGAATGCTTTCATCCAACGGTTGACGCCAACTCTTGCCAGGAAGTCTGGTACCATCTCATCAGCTACAAGAGTTAATTGTTCACATTTGCATAGTTTTCCATCAACGAGAAGTCACTCGCCATCGCCAGTAGAGTGTCACTTATTTATGTTTCATCATTCCTATCACTTAATTGCTATCGTGATGTCACCACTGCTTTATTTTTATCAATGTTTTCTTATTTTTATTAATTTAAAAATTTTAGAATGGCGAGTTTGCAAGCAAATCCAATGAAGATACACTTAGCTCCAAAAGTTACGACGGCGCCAACAAAAGAACCAGTGGATGTTTGAACGTCAATGACAGTAACAACAACAGTTACAATAAAGAGAAGGAAAACAACGAATACAACAACAACAATAATTTGCACAATAATTCCTTACAAGTTCCCATCGCGTCTTCCATCTCATCAGATGACAACAATGATTCTTCGAGGGACAACACCATCGTCATGGATCTCAACAACGTTGATGACTCCGATATTAACATCACCTTCTCTACTCCTCAAAAGCAGGCAGTTTCAGAACTGGACACCTCTGGTGCCGGCAACAACACTCAAGCAACTCAAAGATCTCCATCCCCTCTTATGAGATTGAAGAAGAACAACTTATGGAATCCATTAAAAAAGTCTAGATCGAAATCATTTGAGCCAGTGAAAATATTAGTTAGCACTGCAGACACAAATCAACAATCTCAACAACAAGAAACTCATCAACAATCAAGGCAACAACAACATCAACAACAGTTTGTTGAATCACAGAGCAGCAACAAAACAACATCAGCAAAGCATACGAGCAAATGCAGCAGTGGAAATCATAGTGATGTCTTCGTTGATGAGGCTGTGCTAAAATGTGAAAGTGTTTCAGATGTGGATATTTCTAAAATGAGGAACGAAAGTCAAAGTAGCTTGCAAACATTTAAAGATTTGCCCGACATTGTAACTTCTGATGAAAAAAAATATGACTCAGGCAGAGAATCAGAATGTGGTTTGTTGATGTTTTTAATTTTACTTTTGTTGATGGAGTTGTATGCGTTTGTTGGTGTCAATTTTTTGGTTTTGGTTTTTCCATCGAAATATTTTTTTTTGGTTTTTGTACTGTGTTTATTATATTGTTTTTTCATTGTGGAAGTATTTTATAGAAAAATTATTAGAATCTTGAATAATGAAAACATGCAAATAATAGTTTTTAAAAGTTTCAAAATTTTTAATTCAAAACGAATTGATCTATACTAATTTTGAACTTCACAATTGAGTATGTTATTATGTTGTCTTACTTGAACTTTATTTTTAAAATTGAAATCATGAAATTATTTTGATTAATGCCCGCACCAACCAAGCAGTTCAGTGTTGTGGACACTCACATCTGCCCATTCTCGTAATAGATGAAACTCTCGATCTTTCTGTTGATTCAGTTTTTCAGTTATGTTTCTCTGATTCGCACATCTTCAGAGAATTTGTTAAGTCCATTAAAACTATAGGTTGGGTCTTCGTTACGCCCAAATTCTTGCGTATTTTTTTCAGTTTAGGCTTCACATTATTTTATTTCTTATTTAAATTTAAGGTCTCTTTTAATTTTCTGTTTGTTAAAAATTCAGTTGCACGATTTGAAAAAATTGTTCTATTAAAATTAGATTAAAAGCATCAAATTATTTCGTTATGATCACTACTAGAATTAAAATTTGTTCAAGTTGAAAACAATTTTTTTTAAAACCTTAATTTAATTGAGTTACAACTACCCAAAATATTTTGAATAATCTAGTTTTAATTCATCCTACTTACATCTTACTTACATTTTCTAAATCTTTTATTACCGCAGAAAACTCACTTAAAGGATACATTAGTAACAAGCTTTTATAAGTTACTCCAAAAATAAAATAACTTCAAAACGTAAAATCGTAAAAACGCAGCATAATGTTGTGTCTTGTGCATTATAACCAAATTTGTTCAACTATTTCTATTTTGTTTTCCCTTAACTATATCCTAAGTTAATTTGTTATTCTTTAATAGTGCATTACGCAACGAAAAGTTTGAAGCTAAAAGAATTGCTATTTAGGAAATTAATTATATTGTACGTGGTCATTTTTTCGGATGAATTAAAAAGTGTGCAATTGAACATTCAGCTTATTTGTGTGGCCATCACATGGACTTGAAGGTACTTACTTACGACGATTTGCATGATTGCACAGCCTATGATCTTTTCAAAAGAATGTTCCAGAAAAGTGATTTTTGGTTCAAGTGGCTTAAATTTAAGAAAGCTAAAGGTTCGCTGAATATGTTGTTGGTATGGAGGATGAATTGAAACTAACAAATTTGTGGCTATTACTAACACGATTTAATTGTTCATATTAACATAAATTAACAGAATTTTTTGGTTTCTTTTGGAGTGACTGTTGATGCTTTTGTTTAAGTAAGTTCTCGTCAGTCGTTTATCTTTGTTATTTTTTTCAATTAATTTCTGTTTCTAGAATTAATTAAAATAATATTATACTTTTAAGAATTAAGAAATCATGTTATGCTTTATTGGTTAAGTTTTTAAATAATGATGCCAGTAGATTTGTGGCACGTTAAACCATTGCTCATATTGTTTGATTTTTTTTCGTTTCACTCTTTGAATTATTTTTTTCGTTGGCAAGAGTCGTTAATTTATAGTTAGAGTTTTTTATTGTTCATCTATTCATTCGCTAATAATTTTATTAATAAACATTTTTTCCAAGCACAAGCATGTCAAACTTTGCGAGTATATGGACAATACAACAAAAACCAAAAAATGTTTATTTATTTATATGTGCTGATTTTTGTTTGATCCGTCCTAATGCCACCACACATTTGTTGCGATTTGCAATCTGTAAAATAGTGTGGGACAAGTTTTTCACTACAATATTGATGATTTTAACGAAAATAAAATTTTTTACGATAAAAAAATTGTCAGAACAAATGTTTTTATTTCTCTTGCCTATTCAATCATTACATTTTGTGTTTCTTTTGTCAAGAAATTGATCATGTTCCGGACATTCTATAATGTTTTTTGTGAGACATTTTATAATGTGCAAAGTTAAGTACAAAAAAAGCATGGACCAATTTGATAGCGCAAAAAATGTAAAACTTCATTTTCTAGAATTGAATGAGTTTATGAATTTAAAAAACAAATGATTATTTAAAAACTTCATAAAGAGGTCCAGAAGTTTGACATACTTGCTGCAATTATTTATTTAATTGTTTGTTCCATGTATTCATGATGTCTGCATTCACGTTGAATCGTCCGTTAGATGTCGTTCTGTCTCCATGGTCGGCTGAAACAGACAACAACGGAGCTCGTGTCAGGAACATTGCATACACCGTCTGCGTCAACCACCCGCTTGGTCTCAAACACTCGCCTACCAACGAGAAACAAGTATGTCGCAAATTTCATTGCCGGTGTGAATTTTCATTTGTTTCATTCTCAGTGTTTCAGTGCTTTCAAATATGAGTCGGGTATAATTGTACATGATTATATAAATGTATAATACAGCGATTTATAAAGAGCTAGTTGCTTCAGAGAGACGCCAAGAATCTGTAAATTAATGTTTGGAAATTTTTTTTTAAATTGACAGTGATGGACAGTTCTGATTTTGATTGCCAGTGCATTCCACTCGCGTGGAGCTGCGTAAGGCAAACCAAGATTCACGAAAAAAGTCCTGAAAACATTGAAAAAATTACAAATTTTTTTTTAAATTACACGTTGTGGACGTAGATGGAATACCCTGAGGCTAATTAATCAGGATCAGCTGAAGGATCGTACTCTTGTTTGCCTAAAACGTTTTAGCAAATTTATTTTGGACGAATGCAATACTTGAGAGAAGAGTTGAAAGCATTGTGAAGGAGAGTATGCCAATAATTTAGCCGATGTAGAACGGATGGTAAGAAAATATTGACGCAATCTCAATTCAGTGTTCAAAAGTTCATGCCTGATACGCGAGATGCAACGGAAATTGCACGTTTTTACAATGATAAAAACATGACTGTCAAAACTCAAAAGTGGCACAAAGAAGCTTAATGGAGTGGCTCCTGGATGGATTTGTGCTGACAATGCTGATGATGATGGTTGTGACAAGAAATTCCAGATCAAATTTATAAGGATTGAGTTGAAGACAATTTATGAATTAAAATGGTGCGGTGTGCTCTGAGAAGAGATTGAGAGAAAAATATGCCAATTATAAAGTAATCAGCCGAATGCGCATATTATAAATCGGACATAGAAATTGAAAATATATTTTTCTAAAAAATAATGTCCAGTGTTTTTTGGAAAAAGCTTATGTTTTGTAAATTTTTATTCTGTTCTACTGAAATACAAATGTTGATTAACAGAACTCGTATTATTAACAACTGATACCTCTAACAGATCCTTGACTCCGACAGGCGTCCTGGCGAGTTTTATTTAGTGGATACGGAATGCACAAACAACGGGCTACCCTACAGTGAGGATTTTTACATTGTCAACAGGTTAACATTTTTAGGTTTGCCGCTAAATTTTTCGTTCGGAATGGCCACAGATCAATATTAAAATTGTTAAATAGGTACTGCATAAGCAAGATCTCAGATAGCAAGGTTCGTCTGCGCATCACGAGTCAAGTGAAGTTACAAAGGAAATTGATGGGGCTCCATTGATGTAATGTAGGCTTCCCGCAATTTTTCAATCCGTTCGCCAACAAATTTCCTTTTCCGTTGGTCAACTTAATAAGTATTTTCGTTTGTCTATTAATTTTTCTTTGTTTGTCACTTAATATGTTTCTTTGTTTTTTCTATCAATATTTTCCTTCATTTTCATATAATCATTTTTTTATTTGCTATTAATTCATTCTTTTTAAGACTTCAGTCTGTCCTATTAGTAAACTATTTCAATATTATATTTGCTCACTTTGAATTTATACGTCCTATTACTACTTTCAGACATTTCTTTAACATTTTCTCGTTTAGTTTTATTTTCAACATTTTTTATTTTCCATAAATTAAATTTGTAATTTTTTTTAATTGTTGTTTAGGTCTCAAATAATTTTACATTTTAATTTTAATAATTTTCGCTGAATTTTTTTATTAAAAATCAAACTGACAGATGCAGATTCCGTTATTGTATAAATAAAAATTATTCATGTTATTAGTTCTGTTCTCAACGTTATTCAGAGCAAATGCACTTTTTAATTTCATTGAAAGCCATAACAATTTTGTTCAATTTGTAACATAATTTTTTAATTTGACCTCCAAAAGCTTTCATCGAGAAGAACGCAACCTCTGGAATCATCGAAACGTTCTCTGTCATGGGTTAGCCTTGACTATCTGGCAAGATGTTCATTCTCGTTTTTGTTTCTGTGATTTTGCTTAAAAATGTTCAGATGAGGTTGAAGCGATAACATTATAAAACGTTCACAGGCCACCTACTGAAGCAGGAATCGAACATCCGACAGAATGGCGAAAGAAACGTCCAATCTCCTATCGTACTGAGCTCGAGGAAGAAGAGTCAACGCAGGAGACCGTTCGATAAGCTGCCTCTCTTCAAATCTTCATCACAAGCATCCTCCGATGACGAAAAATTCAAAGACGCATCTTCAACAGTGACGAAAGTTGTCGGTCCCAGTGTAAGTGTAAGTGAACAAAATTATGGTGCAGACAACGACTACAATGATGGAGATGATGGTGACACAAACAACGGTAATCAAAATAATGCTAATCAACTGAACAACAACAACAACAACGTTGCCCACCGTCAGAACAGCAACAACTACAATCACCAGAATGGTCACCTCAGAGTTGGAGGTGACATGGTTTTATTCTAATAATTATTTTCTTTTAACGCCTTTTATCACTTTTTTTTTTACAAAACTTCAATCAGGCAGGAAGTTTTTATAAATTATTTTTTTAATGATGCGAATTTTTCTAAAGTTATTTAATGATGGTTTACGCATAATGTTCCTCGATGCAGAGGTAACGAACGTTCAACGGGAGAAGGAGACCTTCATGGCAGGACTTGCTCTGAGCACATCAATTAAAATCATCACAGCCTTGTAAGATGATAGTCTTATACGTTGTTATTAATTTAATTATTTCATCATTACATTTTAAATTTTCTAATGTTTAGAACTTTCAATCGATCGTGTTTATTATCTGAACTTCAAACAAAAACGATTATTTATTGAAAACTCTTCATCATGTTACCCTTAAGTGCATTCTTCCTGCTTTTGTTCAACGTGTTCTTATTCCTAAAACTAAATGAACTGGAGAACTTGACAATTAAATACAGCAAACAAATGAACATAGTCCGCAAACAAAAGTAACTTCTTACTCCTTCAATATACTTTTAATATAATATTTTTAATGCTTTTCAATTTCATTTCATTGATGTTATTTGGAGGTACGCCATTTTGTTTTTTAATTTCATTTTCATGTCCATGTTAATATTTGAGAGTGGCCTACCGGAAGTTCATTTGCAACAACTCATTTGCTTTTCCTTAAAAAAATTATCCAGTCCCTATACGTTGTATACATATGTATTTTTCAAGCGAACTGGCAGCAAACAATTTTACAGCAAAGAAAACACTTTACAAAAGACATCCTATGCATATATTTTTATGCACACATTCAACTGCATGCATCTATATGCACACACACATAAATACTTACGCGGATTTAAATTTGACAAACTTATTAACTTTTCTCAGATTTACTCAAAATTCCGGAGGGAAAACTCAGCTGGATGACAATAAATGTGAAAAAAATGTTAAAACAAATGACTTTCCAAATGAATTTGTTTCCAATGATGATGACCGTGAAAAAGAGACTCTGACATTCAAATCGGCTGAATATTTGAAACCCATCAACTTGGAAGAATCTGATGTGGAGAAGAAAACAATTACGAAAGAGTTGACGGATTGGCAGAAAATGGTCGGCACTATGATGCAAGTTATGGAGCAGATGGCTCTAAAAATCGTCGAACTGAAACACATTTCTCAAAATCATTCCAATGCTAACGCGTCTAAATTGGATATTGATGAAGATATTTATAAGGGAGATGATTATGAGAAGGAAGTGGGTGGTGATGATATTAAGGAATCTCTGATTGAATGAGTAGCTACTTAAATAGTCGGCTGTGTTTTGGTTCATTTCGTCAAATGGCATTTATAATTGTTATATTTTTTGCTAGATGTTCTATTAAATATTCAGAATCTCACTTTGTTGTGTTTTATTAATTTATATGATCAATCTAAACGTTTCCTCGGTGTTAATTTATTTCACTATCTAATTTTTACACATCTTGCTCTGAGGATCTGCATTGAACAATTAAAACATTTTGCAACAATTCACTTTTTTAATTTTTTGAAACGTTTTACTCGTGCACGAGTGTACTTGATTATACGTACGTGTGATGTATTTGAGTTACCTCCTGGCTGTTGACGCGTCATTCATTTTATATTCATTATTCGCAAACATTTCTCTCATAGCTAGCTCTCAATATATTTCTAGAATATGGTTTAAAATACTTCGTATTGAGGACAAAATTTTTATTACTTTTTAACACTTAAAATTAACATTGACTACGGTTTACTACTAAAGTTTATCTGTGATAAAACACATTCTTCTACCTAGTACACAAAGTATATATATATATACAAACACACACAAACATACAAATTATATATATATATATATATACATACATACATATGTATTCATTTTTTCTCAGATTTTTTAAAATTATGTCTCACGAAGCTTCGCTTATTCAAGTTTTATAAAGATCTTAATTTTTGATATTTTTGAAATTATTTATTATTTGTTCATACTTCAAACATGTGTCTTGTTGCATTCTACTTGACTTCCAATTGCTGGAATGACAATGTTTTGAAGTGCGGTGCACTGATGATACACTCCATCGGTTCCCACGGTGCATGGTGGGACGGGAGATGCCTTCGTTCCTGCTGTGCAGTAAAATTAGCAAGTAGTTGAAATCATGCTCATCCTGTTTGTTGACATTTGTAAACTTTTTCCGATGCTTTCTAAATTATTTAATCAAATTATTCGTTCATTCTTTCGAAGTTTTTATTAAATCCACGTGTATTATCCACCCGTTATATTATACTACATTTATTGTCGTGTTAACGTTTAACACGATTACAATTTTTTATTTTTAAAAAAATATTATTAACAACTTCTTGTTTTAAGCAAAAAGAATTTTATTCAATTTAATCACAAGATTTGAAACTATTGAATAAACAATTAAATTATAAATAAATATATGTTTAACACACGCATTTAGAAGCCATCAATGCAGACACGAGTTGTAAATGTCCAAAATATACGACGGCAGTGATAATATTTTGCAAATTCTCAATAATATTTAACAAGTCGCTTCCACATTAAGTCAAAATTAAATTGAACGTCAACTTTTATCCATTAATTTATAAATTTTATTGACTCACTATGAGTGAGTATTTAAAGAATGAAAATGTAATAACTTATTTTGAGAAAAACCAAACAACCAAGAATAAAGATTCGTTAACAGATATAATACCGGCATTAATGAGTAGAGGCAAAACTGGCGTGAATAGTGATGGCGCAATGATATCATGATAGAAGTCATGTTAAACAATATATCTTTAAAAAGGCACGATTTCATCACAAAAAAGTTTAAAACAATCTCAAAAATATGAAAAGATGGATCCACAGCGCCATTACTGCCTAGCGCATAACTAACATATAACAAACTGCAGGTTGAAAAGCAGTCGAAATGTAAATACTTCAATCTAACAATTTTGTACATCAAACTTCACTAATGTATCATTAAACATCAGAATTCTTAGGACTATTTGGACACTTGGTAAATTGCATGAGCCAAATATCCGACGTTGGATGATGTAATACCAGCAACAGAAATTCGGCCATCACGAGTCAAATAAATTGAAAACTCCTTAGTCAGCCTATCGACCTGCCATACCAACAAGTAAAAAATGTACAGTATTGCTGGCTATTTCAAACAACAAAAGTTATTTAGAAATATAAAACACGAACGAACTACCTGTTCGGGTTTCAATCCGGTGAAGCAGAACATTCCAATCTGGTCGGAGATGTGGGACCAATCATGGACTGACCCTTCCTTCTTCAAATTTGCCTCCAGGATTGTTCTCATTGAAATTATCCGGTCTGCCATCAACTTAACATCGGATAGCCTATAGAAAAAGGCGCACAAATGTGAAAAAGTTCATAAATTCATATTTTATGTACATACGTGGTCATTTCCAGTTAAAATTATAAAAAAAAACTAAGCACAACTTAACAGATATTATGAAATAATGGGATGAAAATATTGAAAAATGAAAAAAGTGTACCATATATCTCTGAGCTTATGATCAGAAAGTATGGTAGTTGCGATGCGTGCACCATGCAGAGGAGGATTGGAGTACATAGGCCTTATGATGATCTTCACTTGGGACATCACTCTATCCCTTTCTTCCTTCGAGGTGCAAACCACAGTGAACCCGCCTACTCTTTGGCCTGAATTCAACAAACGTATGTTGACTTTACGGTAAGCAGTGATGACCAGCGTCTGAGTCGAAAATTCGCCGAGTAGGATTTTTTTCAAATGAATATGTCTATGTTTTAAAACATAAAAATAAAGAAATTTTACAAAGAAAAACAATTAAATTGATTGATCTTAAACGTTTACAAAGTATTTTCTATTTAGTAGTAATAATAAAGTGAAATTATGATGCAAAAGTTGAGAAATTTTTCTGGAAGTCTGAACCCGAAGTCAGAGTCGGGAGTCAAAAAGTTTTACACAGAGTAGGAAATTTATGAAGGGCAGGTTTTTCATCCGACTCAGACATGCTGGTGATAACATTATTTTCTAGAAATAATCAGTGAACACAACACGATCTGGTGAAAGTTGCACAGAATTATAACTAAATGCTTTCTTTAACTAATTACTTCAATAAAATACTTCAAACAAATACTTTTAATAATAAATACTGAAACTAAATATTTCAAACAGATGATTTTCAACTTGGAAGCACCGCAATCAGAGTTAACTCAAATAGAACATGCTCCATGTGTTGCACTGTCGTATCAATAATGAATGATCAGTATTCACTCAGAATCACTCTTCAAGTACAACACTCAACTGAAATGAGGACATACAAACATCAACGAAACGCACCATAAAGACCCATATTCTTGGCAAAAGATTGTGACAGCAACATAGAAGAGTGTCCATCCTGTACAAAGTACCTCAAAGCAAAAGCATCACGAACAATATCGCCACTGGCAAATCCCTGGTAGGCCATGTCAAAAAATGGAAGAAGCTGCCTCTCTTTTATTACCTTGCTTATTTCCTTCCAGTGCTCTGGCTGGAAAAAGAAATGTTAAAAAATAGGAATGTATAAACGAAATGCTAGAAAACAATTTGAAATCCAATCGTCACTTTCTAGCAGAACTTGCCAGCTAGGCAATGCAAGCATAATCACAAATCTTTAACAATCATATAAACAACAACGCTAATTTATTGGGCAAGATGTTTATTGTTAAACATAAAACCAGAAACAAAAAAAACAAACTGTGATCAATGAACAAATCATGACTAGACAGAAATTCCAACCTTTGGATCGACTCCAGTGGGGTTGTGGGCACATGCATGAAGGAGGATGATGGAACCTTCCGGAATTTTCTAAAAATTAAATAATAATCCCTTCATCTCTAATCATATAACTACAAGGTATTGAGTATATAAAAGTGATAAAATCCAATTCAATTCCTTTCACTTGCCAAAATAGGTGAAATAACAGTAAAAAGCAATAAAAAACTTATCTAGTAGTCACTCTGATGCAAATATACAAAATTAAAAAAAATTCAGCAATAATGTCAAACATAAGGTATAAATGAAACCAAAATCTGACTTTTGAAATTAAGAAATGTAATTATACTTTTCAGGCAGAAAACTTATATTAAATCAGATTCTCAATCATAGTAATATAATAATAAGTTGTTCAAATGACAATAAGTAAGAAAAACAATAATTTTTAAAATAAAATGAATCAAATACAGTTTTAAAAAATTCTGCTAGACTGAAATAAAACCACCTAAAGCAGTGTAAAAAAGTATGATTAGTAAATAAAAAGAAATAACGTTTCTAATTGCTCCATAGTTTTAATTAATAATGATTGTTAGCCTAACTAATTAAATAGTTTGTTTAAGTTTTTTAAATGATAAAAGATAATTATTTGAAGGGTAATAAATTAGTTGAAAAATCTGTCGGACCAAAAACATTATTTTCATAACAAACTTGTGCCATACAAATAAATTTGCTGTTAAACTTCAACTGAAATTTCTACTTCAATTAATTAGATAGACTTAGTATTGGTACATAATTTTATAATGATATGAAATAAGTTTTTTAAAATAAAATGAATCAAATACAGTTTTAAAAAATTCTGCTAGACTGAAATAAAACCACCTAAAGCAGTGTAAAAAAATTATGATTAGTGAATAAAAAGAAATAACGTTTCTAATTGCTCCATAGTTTTAAATAATAATGATTGTTAGCCTAATAAGTTAATACATATAATCTTACACTTACACTTATGTCCTCAATGGCTCCCTTGAAATCAAATCCAATTGTTTTGGGGTCATAATATCTGTATTGCTTGGTCTCCAAACCTGAATGCCTGAGTATGAAATGTTTCATCTAAATTTCTTTCATCTTGAGCAGGTAAAATATTAAAACAACCACATCCAACAAGAACCACCGAATTGTGAATTTATGAAATTGAGAAGCAAAAGATTATTTAGTACTGGGTAGCAGTATTAATATTTCATATAGATTACTTCATTATTGGTATGTGGTTGCCCCACGTAGGATTAGGAAGGTAAACAGTCTTGCTGGGTTCATACCATTTGGACTGAAAAAAACACAAACATCACATCAATGAATGACAACTAAAGCAATTTATAATAAACATTTCAAAAAATTCATTCCACAAACCAAAAAAGCAGCACCAAGTCTGAGAGAACCTGTACCAGAAATACTTTGAACCGTACAATTCTGCAAATAATAATCAATGGCAAACACAAATGTAAAGAAAAAGAAATTGTTGCGATAAAATAATTTGATTTTAAGTTAATTTGAATGGACAATCTGTAAAAATTAATTAATTTACCAAATCATTTAAAACCACGGGACTGTCATCTCCGAATGCCAACTTGGCCACAAGTTGTCCAAACTCAGCAGATCCTCCAATTGGGAGGTACTCATGATCCATGTTTTTTTCTCTCAAGATCTCTTCAGCCTAGATAATTTGATCGAAATTGAAAACATATATGTATATAATTGTATACTCAACTATAATATAATGTTTCTATATTTTCACATAATTAAATTAAAATCTTATACTTTTTGAACAGATGGCAAAATGAATGGCTTCCCATTATCATCTCTGTATGCTCCTACTCCCAAATTGATCTTTTTTGGATTTGCATCTCTCTTGTAGGCTTCTGTCACTCCAAGAATAGCATCAGGAGGGCCCATTTCAACATTGCTCCAACTAAATCTATGGTTAAAACATTTTTTATTTGTGAAATTAAACAGCCACAAAATTCTAAAATACTTACTTATAAATTAAAACTGAAAAATTTTATTCATATCTACTCTAAATATGAAGATAAAACCAAAAATAAAATAGAAATTTGAATGTAAAAAAAAATCTAAAAAACTGAAATTTCTTTACTTGCTTCTAACAGCACAAGCTAGTTTGTTGGCATTCCATGTTATTGCACTTTTTCTTGCCAGAAAATTGAGAGCCATTTCTGATAAAGCCAAAAAAATCAAATATAAATTCTTATGCAAAAAACTCAAGTCAAGTAATTGTAGCTAAATTAAATATATTATAATAATTAATTATAATTTTATGTTTACAGTTTTACTTTTTTATTTTAATAATTTATTTGAATTAATTTAAATAAAAAAGCACATACCCAAGTTTATGTGTAATTGTAATCGTAATGTAGTCGTAATGTATTGTAGTTGTGTTGAGATGAACTATTATGCTGCAATACTGCAAACTACACTTATGCTTGTAATGTACTTTCGAGTTGCAATGTACTACTTACTGTACTAACTACTCACTGTACTTAAAACTTACTACCTACCGTGCTTATTACTTATACTTAGGCCTACTAAACCACACTATGGCTGTAAAGGAGGGGAGTTTTCAACATAAAAAACAAGCCTTACGCAAACAAACCTCGTAAAGTTTGAGAAGTATTTTAGCCAACACTATGTCAAAGAAAGCCAAATTTTAACAAAAAATGTATCATGCTTATTTAGTGCAGAAATTAAACTATACCACATGAACATATCGTAGATCAATAATAAGCATTTACAAATATAGATTATAAACCACGGAATAAACATAAAAATTGAAATAAAACAATTGCCCTAGATTTTCTACTCTTTTGACACCGACTCCGGATTTCAACTCACAAAAAAATTTTCAACTTTTGTATCATAATTTTACTTTATTATTACTGCTAAATAAAAAACACATAAAAATACACATTAAATCAGTCAATGTAGTTGTTTTTCTTACTAAAATTACTGTATATTTATGTTTTAAAACACACTAAAAAATTATGTGATCTTATTATATTATTATTATTATATTATATTATTACATTATTATTTTCTATATTCTTGTTTCATTCACATTATTAGCATTTATTTTTGGTATTAAAGATGATTGCATATTGTTGCACCCATATAAATAGAATAAATATAACGGCCTTCGCTCATTTTTGACGGTCGAACAAGGAGCTTACTTCCGGAGGGAAATTGGAAAGTGATTTTTTTTCGCCCAAGTCAAAAGTTACGATCGTATATTTACTAATTTCGGAATATTGCTTTTATTTAAAATTTCAAAATGTTTTAAAAGGTGATACTAGATGCTGTTTTATGATAGATATTGCTGTATGACGGTTAAGTATCTTTTTGCATTTTAAATAAAAAAATTTTTTGTGAACCACCAACAACACTTAACAACTCATTAACTGTAACAACACTAAACGACGACTAATTAGTAATTAAATTACTAAACTCTAATAATTAAGCTAAAACTAAACTCTACTGATTCTAATTACTAATTGAAATAAATAACAGATAACACTAACGAGCATTGACAGATTAGACTACTAGAAACTACCAACCACTACACTACCACATACTACTACTACACTAACGACTAACAGCACTTGTTCCTAAGATCCTAAATTCTATTGCTTGATTGGTTTTAAAATTTTTATTTACAATTCTTAGGTCTGGGAATAAAAAATATACTAACTAAATTAAATAAATATATTAAACAACTTATCAATCAATTTTATAAAATAAACACTTTTGTAATTTGTTCAATTCAAGCTTCAAACTCCCCAAGCTAACTTGCAATTTAATTAAAATTTATTAATTATGAGTGATTCAAACTAAATTTTTTTTCATTTAATGTTTTACAAAATATTCCTCATTCTTAAATTGTAGTACATATTGTTATTAAATTTATTAAAGATAATGTGTGATTCCAGTGATTCATCAATCCATGACTTGTTAGATCATGATCATTCAGTTTTAAAGAATCCACATCACCATAACCAATGAGGTTTGTAAAAATTGTACTTTTAATTTATTATATTTTATGCACTTAGAATGTTGTGTTATTAATTATTAATACCTCGGGAAACCGGGTCTCTGGACGCAAAACAAAGATTGATTGATTGATTAATTATTATCATTAATTTATTAAATGCTGTGCATACCTATGGCAAGTAAATAAAATAATGAAGCATAGAAATAGCCACAATCAAATTAATTTATATAGGCATGAGTATAATTTGGATAATAATAATTAAAAATATCGGTATCATTGAAAATGGATAAAGTCATAAATAAAAAAATAAATCATAAATTGCTAAAAATAATAGTTCCAGTAAGATTTTGCCTTACACCTACGTCTTTTTTTCTTTCTTATATTATAATAAATGTTTGTTATCAACCTTTTAATGTAGTGTTAATAAAATGACATTGAGAATAGTTATTTAAAACAATCTTATTAAAATTATTGAACAGGTATGACAAGATTACTTTCTTAATGTCCTAGTGTGAGGAAGATGTAAGCCATTTGTCCAAAGATAATCATATGCCTTATGCCCATACAAATGCAGTGTCAACGCGAATGATTTTTGATCAGAGTCATATGTTCTAATTTTTTTAAACTTTTCCAGAAATTTTTCTGTTAATTTATTTGTTACATTAAATACTTGATGTGTATTTCATATAAAAACTTGATTATGCCAATTTAGTTAACTTGTTAAGCATTAATATAAAATTGACTCTACTTGTAATGGTGATTGGTATGATGATGATGATCCCAGTCCTAAGCAGGGTTTATTATTCACAATGTCATTATGCCCTTTCTAAGTTTTAATAAAATACATGGAATATTGTTGAATGCATTTTATATTTTTTGTATAGATAAGAATGTTGCAATGTACAATGATGATGTGAATTGCTTCCTTGTGTAACTGATGACATATAAATATAACTAACTTGAAAACATGGGAATGCTTCCTTCAGCATTACCTTCCTTTCTCCATCATAACCCTTATAATCTTTGTTACAGAAATAGTCACTGCATATTCTTGCATTTTTTGATGGAAGCCATTTGAAATCATTTATTTCCTGTCTGATGCACTTAATCCAGTCGTTTTGCATTTTTACATTTTGAGGAAATCTGAAATTTTATAAACTGTTACAGAAACTTGTGCATTTCTTAAGTATTGCTTTTAATAATAAAATGGTAATCCATGATAGCATTATAAATTATAATAGTCTATAAAATAAAATATATGTAATTGTAAAACAAAATAGTTCTATTCAATGAGTATAGGGATATTGTTACATTTATTTTAGTGTAAATTTAATTTGAAAATAAACCTGTGAAAAGATGCATCAGAAATTTTCTCATTTCTATTTATTATTAATGCAATTTTTAATGCAACAGGTAGGCATGTTTGTGTATAGCTACGAAAATGAAAATTTACTTAAAAACTAAATTATTGTATCTGACACGAAAATTAGTACAGAAACAAAAACGAAAGAATAAATGACAATATAAAAATTTAAACATTGATTGAAAGAGTTTCTTCTAATTATATGGTATGGGCAATTCGTTGCGAAATCGTTGGAGGAAATGGTGTCAACAGTAGTTATTTTACTGCATGGTAGTTAATCAGCCGGTATAAAGGTTATATTCAATTCCTATCAAATAAATTTGACAAAATATTATACACAGGCAGAACTAAATAAAGAAATAGATGGATATATACACTAGTTATAAAAAATTTATAACGTTGTATTTACACATTCAAATTGTACAATTGTGTTATGGTGTAGTCTCAAATTATTTTGAATTTGCTCAGAAAATTTTAAACGTTTTACTACACTATATATACTAGTTATTTTTACCAACAATTTAAAAATTTTATCAATAATTAAAAAAAAATTTCAAATTGATTTCATTGCGATATCGATAATGATTTTTGTGACCTGACTGATTAAAAAACATCAAAGAAAGTTAAAATAGGATGGAGAATTTGTTATATTGGGATATTCGTTTAAAAAGCGAGCAAAATTTTAATATAAAAGCGCTTATAAATCTATGCATATTGGCTCAGCTTGGCTTGGCTTGGCTTGGTATCGGATGTAAAGCAAGGTGTGGTCTCAAACTATTTTGAATTCTCCCCGAAAAATTTGAACTGCGTGCGTATATATATAGTAATGGCTACTGTTGTTTTTTATAATGAATTTATAAAATATATAAATATAGCGAGCAAAATATTAACATAAAAGCGCCTTTAAATTTATGCATATTGGCTCAGCTTGGCTAGGCTCGGCTTGGAATTGGATGTTAAGCGAGGTGTAGTCTCAAACAATTTTGAATTCTCCCCGGAAAATTTGAACTGCGTGCTTACATATATAGCACTGATTACTGTTGCTTTTATAATGAATTTTTATTATATATATATAAAGTGACTGGAATCCATGTATACAAATAATTAAATTATATTATATTAGATTATATGTTCATATGAAAAGCAATATAGCAGATTCAATCAGCCAACCAGAAAGTTTCGAAGGCGTTCGTTCGATGACTTCAATTTAGTACGGTTAGCATTGTGGTTAAAACTGTATAATAGTGCAGTATATACATTAAACAAGTTTCTTACTGATGCGAATGATTGAAATGATGAGAGTGTATGGTTGAAACGAGTATAAATAGAGGAGCTGAGACAACATGAAAATCAGATCAGCATTCTGCCTCGCTTGAAGCAGTCTGTCTGATCTCATTTATTTTATTTTTAAAATTTTTTTATTTTTATTTATTTTATTATATAGAGTTATACAGAGTTATATAGAGTTATATAGTGTTATTATAGAGTTATATAGAGTTTGCATGTTTGTAGGTGGTTTGAATGTTTGTA